TTGGAATTGTTTGTAATTGTGCCTTTAGAATTTCCTTTTTTAAAAAATTCCCTCCCTTCTGAGACTCCTTTTCTCATTAGAGTCACTTGCCATGGGACTTTACTTCTCATTGTTCTGAGTTTAGTAAAACTGGCTTTCCTGAAATCCAAGGTATATGCTTGGCTACATTTAGCTTTTGCTTCCTTTAGAATCAGGAATTCAGATATGGCATAGTGACTTTCCCCCAGAGTTCTTGCAGCTGCCACTTCATCCACCCCGTCTTCCCGGTGGTTAGTATCAAGTCAAGGATAGCCGCTCCTCTTGTTCCTTCCTCCGCTTTCCCTTGGAGTAAGTTGTGTTATTCCTAACACACGTTAGGAATCTCTTGGAGGGGCCATGTTGGGCAGAATTTGTCTCCCAACGGATTTGGGGGAAATTGAAATTCCCCATCGGGCCTCCTTGAAACACGGGCCATTTGTTTTCCAAAAGCTTCACCCTCGTCTCCTCCTCGACTGGGAGGCTGGTAATAGCCTCCGGCCACTGCGTTCCTTTCATTCCTTGCTCGATGTACGTTAACCCAGATGCTCTCGGTGGGGCTGCTACGCTCATCCTCCTCACAGAACACAGTGGGGATTGAGAGCCATGTCTGCATTCTGTGTCTTGGTCACGGCAGAGTAAGGCACAGACAGAGAGAGCTAAGGAAGGAATCCCATGGGTCACATCAAGAGTTAGCATCATCAGATTTTATTCCATGCACAGCTACAGGGATCTGAAGGCCACTGCGTCCAGCTTGTAAGAAGGGCGTGCAACAAGCGCTAGCAGAATTGCTCATTTGCTGGAGCCCCAGACTGGAGCAAGGGGCTCTGCTCCAAAAATTCAAGGTGCTGGTTATCACCTACAAAGCCCTCAACGGCTTGGGACCTGGATACCTAAAGGAGCGCCTGCGTCCATATTTGCCCTCCCGCCCCTTGAGATCGGCAGCAGAGGCCCTTCTCCGGGAGCCCTCTGTGAAAGATATTAGGAGGGCGAGTACCCGGAGGAGGGCCTTTTCTGTGGTGGCGCCCCACCTCTGGAATGCGCTCCCCAGAGAGGTCCGCCCAGCGCCGTCGTTGTTTGCTTTTCGGCGCCAGGCCAAGACCTTTTTATTTAAACAATATTTTAATAATAGTTGATTTTATTTATTGGTTTTAAATACTGAGCCAGGATGTATCTAGATTTTATATGTATGCATTTATATGTATTTGTTTATGATGTTGGAAGCTGTCCCGAGGCTTATGCGAATGGGACAGCATACAAAAATTCCAAATAAATAAAATAAATAAATACATAAATGCTCACGTTGCACTGAGCATGCCAAAAAACACCAGAGGCACCCTGTCATCCCAAGCCCCATCTGTTTGAGGTGAAGGGGTCCTTCTGAGGATGCCTGACCCATTGGCTTCAAACTGCTTGAGCTGACAAGGGCCTCCACCCCTTGCCGCACCCTGGCTGAAGAGGAGGAGCCGTCTTTCCAAAACAGAGCGGAGATCCCTTTCCTCAGCTCCTCACCCAGGGAGGCTTCCAACCGATGCAACTCGTGACGCGTGGCCGCTTGCCAGAGTGTGCCTGGGCACTGCGACCGCGTGGCCTCTTCAGGGCCACGCAGTCCGAGATCTCCTAACTTTGACAGTAGCATCTCTTCGCAAATTTGTTCCACCAATAAGCATCAATATTGAATATGCTCTGGGAGACATCTATGAGTTTGGCATTTGGATGGAGAAAAGAACGGGGTTGTTAGTTTTCTGTCTGGGCTGGCTTGCACCTGGCCCTCTTCACAGACCTTTGCCATGGCTCTTTTGCTCTAGCCTTGGTTTAACAATGTTCTTCTATTCTTAGTTTCTGCTGGTTTCTTTTTCCCATCCTTCCCACACGGTTTGTCACCATGGAGAATCTAACTCTCCTAGCATTCATTCCTCTTGCTTAAAATAAACTAAAATAAACTAAAATAAGAGGAAAGTTGAAAGGGTATTTGCTTTGTTTGGGTTTTTGTTTGGTTTTTTATGTGCGTTCCTTTTGCCCAGCAGTCAAAGCCCCCCACTAAGAATCGGGGTGCTTCTCACATGCACACTAATTACTTGACCAAATGTGTTCACTTGGTTCCTTTTGTCTCAGGAGTTGACATTAGGTGGTATCAATGTTACTTCGGTGACAATTAATATGCACGGCCTCATTTTTGTGTCCAAGTGATGCTTGTTGAGGCCCCATCGGTGCGGGTGTTCAAGGATAGGCTGGACGTGCACATGGTGGGCATGTCATGAGCAGAGTCGGCTGGTGCCGGGGGTCAGACTAGATGGCCCGAGAGGCCCCTTCTGACTCGCTGTGTTTCTATGTTGCTGTTGTTGTTAGTTGCGAAGTCGTGTCCAACCCATCGCGACCCCATGGACAACACTCCTCCAGGCCTTCCTGTCCTCCATCATCCCCAGAGTCCACCCAAGCCCACACCCACTGCCCCAGTGACTCCATCCAGCCACCTCATCCTCTGCCGTCCACTTCTTCTTTTGCCATCAATTGTTCCCGGCATCAGGCTCTTCTCCAGGGAGTCCTTCCTTCTCATGAGGTGGCCAAAGTATTTGAGCTTCATCTTCAGTATCCGGCCTTCTAAAGAGCAGTCAGGGTTGATCTCCTCTAGGACTGACCGGTTTGATCACCTTGCAGTCCAAGGGACTCGCAGGAGTCTCCTCCAGCACCACAATTCAAAGGCCTCAATCCTTCGGCGCTCAGCCTTCCTTATGGTCCAGCTTTCACAGCCATACATTGCAACTGGGACAACCATCACCTTGACTATGTGCACTTTTGTTGGCAGGATGATGTCTCCGCTTTTTAGTGATGGTACTAACCTTTAAAGCTACCCAGCCTGATATCCTACATTCTGGGATGGGATGCTAAGGGTTTAGTCTAACACATCTGGAACGCACCAGGTTTGAAAACAGGAAGGTGTTACATTATACAAGTCAGTCCTCTGGTCTGTCTAGGCCTGTACTGCCAGCACTGACTGGCAGCAGTGGCTCTCTGGGGTTTCTGGCTGGTTTCTTACCTAGCCTTGCCTGGAGGTGCCAGGAATCACCCCGGAGCTTCAGGGAGAAGGAAAGCAGCAAGGTGCCCCTGAGTTGAGCAGACTCCGTTTCAAACTGTGCCTCCAGTGCAGCCTCCCCGGGAAGCCTTAACCAGGCCTCCGCCCCCAGCTGCAACACCGACTTTGTTGTAGGACAACACAAATACTACACAAATACAGATATCCCAGGCCTTCATGGTGCTCCGCCTCATCTGGAACTCTTGCCCAGGTTCCTGATTTCTAGGATACGTTATGCGCTGGCGTTCCATTTTAGGACGGTCTTGCCATTCAGGAGATGAGTGTGATAACACCACTTGACACGCTCAGTTGTGTTTTGGAGTTGTCCTTTAATTGTCCAAGGATTTTTATTATTATTACCTTAAGTGGCTAATCAACAGGGTGGGAATTCTAGTAACGACTTTGGTCAAAACTTCACATGAGGTTCAAGTTTGCTGTTGCATGTTGCTGTTTTTTACTTTAAGTAGAAGCCAGAATTGGGGTGGGGATGCGGGATTTTGTGGGTAGTGAGTTTTGATTCAATACTTTTGCTCCAGTTTCTTCCCCACACTAAACACTAAATAGCAGCTCTGGAGAACGGATTTTGTCAAGAAGATGGAATAGGGGGAGAGGATTGAAAACAAAACATAGTCCTGACCCATGCTATTCCCACCATCACCACCCTGCCTGGCATTCCCAATTAAAGGAAAACCGAAAGCCGCATAACAAAATCAAACCATGTGTTTAAAGAAATGTGTACTTTTTTGTTGTTGTTAGTCGGGAAGTCATGTCCAACCCATCGCAGCCCCATGGATAGCATTTCTCCAGGCCTTCCTGTCCTCCACCATCCCTGGAGTCCACTCAAGCTCACACCCACTGCCCCAGTGACTCCATCCAGCCCCCTCATCCTCTGCCGTCCCCTCCTTCTTTTGCCCTCCATCGTCCCCAGCATCAGGCTCTTCTCCAGGGAGTCCTTCCTTCTCATGAGGTGGCCAAAGTATCTGAGTTTCATCGTCAGCATCTGGCCTTCTAAAGAGCAGTCAGGGTTGATCTCCTCCAGGACTGACCGGTTTGATCGCCTTGCGGTCCAGGGGACTCTCGGGAATCTTCTCCAGCACCACAATTCAAACGCCTCAATTCTGTGGCGCTTATAAAAAAGATGAATCCATCCATCCAAACCAGTTTTCCATCAAGCTTAAAGGCAGGGGGGTGGGGGGTGCCCCTTGTTCAGCCTTGGTTCTATGCAAGGACCACAAGAGAAGCTGAAACACCCTGCCTACCGAATTCTGTACACGTCAAGCAGCAGGCCAGCCAGTGCTGCTGAGCACCATGGGGTCCCCCCACCCCCCATCTAGCCTTCCTCAGCACTACAGCCTTGGATCGCTTCTGGAAACAACTGCTTCTGCATGCTGGGCGGACTCATTCGCTGGGCACGGATGTGTTCTGCATCCCGGGCCTGTGGCGGCCCTGCACCTCCTCTGCGCCTCTGTGCAGCCCGGAGACCCTCCCCACACCGCTTTGCTCGCTGCTCTCTGGCGCTGCCAGAGCAGGAGGCTCCCCGCTCGTGCTGCAGTCAGCAGAGTTTGCTCTGGCTGCACTCACAGCGGGCAAGCAAGCAAGCCCGGCGATGACTAATCTTGGCGCATTAGCAGCTCCCCCTGTGGCTTTGCATCTTGGGGGAGCAGGCGTCATCGAGCCGGGAGCTTTTATCCAGAAAAGCAACTGGGTGCACGCACCGCTGGAGGGCCCCCACCCAGAGTGTCTCCCCACTTCCCTTCTTCGAGGGGAATGGAAGGATGCAACCGGTCTGGTTGCAAAGGTAGGCAAATAAATGTGTCTCTCTCCCCCTTTCCGTGCATTTTTAAGTTTGGGGCAAATCGGTGAAGGTGGTGGAGAGAGCAGCAGCACAGGCTGAGGGTGACTGCAGGTGACCTCCCAGGCAGAATGCAGGTGACTTCCAAAATCTCACAGGCCCCCCGAGCTGCTCCTGCCAGAGCTGGTTCCGTTCCAGCACTTGCTGCCCGTCGCTGGGAAGCGGTGCAGCAGCTGCCGAAACTTGGCCCACAGAGGCAGCGCTTACCGTGACAATCCCTGCCCCCCAGCTCCATTGGTCTACTTGTCGCTCTCGTCCCCACGAGCACAATTCGCCATTATCCGATCGCCCACCGATTAGTTAATGGCCGTGTCGATTGCCCCGAGTCTGTCTGGATTGTGGGGAGGGACGAGTCTCTGGGTGGGGGGCGCAAATGAGTTGGGTGCATCCCTGTCGCAAGGGGCATTGTTGAGAGAGTGTCTTCCTGCTTAATGTAAAATATTTCATTGCTTCATCGTCCAACGGATGCCTAGAACTGATAAATAGCTTTTGAGAGGCCGCCACTCTCCCAAGCGCAATGCATCTTCCATGTGCTGCTTCCGGCCAGAGCACGTTTCCCTGCTCCCTTTAAACCTTGGTTTTAGATCCCGGATCAGGTGAGAATTCACCAAAGAGATGGCCAAAAGGTGACTCCCAAGCAAGTTGCAGCCTGGATCGTGCCCACCATGATACGGACAGACAAACCCAGTCCCAGACTTGTGGATGGGGGGGAGGGGGGGAGGCCAACTGGGAAGCAAGAACATAATCGGGGAGAAAGGGGTCGTGTTCATAACCATCAGCCGTTCTGATGGTTCCTGCAGTTTTTCAGCAGCCACGTAGGGAAAGACCTGGGTTTGAATTTGGCCACCAGGAGCTGGGCCCTGGAGCTGCCCACACGGATTCTCACCCCACAGTCCTTCTCTTCCCTCTGTCTCCATTTCCCTCTTTCTCTTCCCGCATCCCACAGCTGGAGTCGCCGCTGGCTCCTCCACTGGCACGATCCACAGCCCCACTGCTATGTCCTTGCCGGGGAGCAGACGACCCTCCACGGGCTCCCGAAGGTGAGTATGGCTGGACTTTCCCCCTCTGTCCACCTGCCACATCGCAGCCTCCCTGTGAATTCACAGCAGAGTCCCTCACCTGCAGACCGGCACAAATTGCATCCCACAGCGCCTTCATGTACCCAGAGAGCAAGGAAGCCCCCCAGCCATGGTGCGGGGGCTTCTCCTTCCATGCACAGGCCGAACGCTCTCCAGCGCCTGTGGGAACCGCCAGTCCCAAGGCAAGAGGAGCACGTGGTTTCTCATGGCTGCCCACAGTCCCAAGTTGCATGCTTGTAGCTGTGCGCACACACCCCTGTTGTGCATGTACGGACCCCCCGCAAACCGACATCGCCACAATCGATGCTGGAATCACGCCTCCATTCCGCATAGCCAAAGGCAGGTGTTGCAGGATCCGCTTCTGCAGCAGCAGGAGGGCAGGGATCCCATGGCTGGGGGCGGGGGTTGGCCAGGGCCCTGTTCGCCCCAGTTCTCCGCTGCTCGAGAGCCCCTGGGCCACTGCCACATAGGAGATGTGGGGCAGCATCTCCAGAGGATGCAGCTGTGGTCTTTCCGGCAGGCCTTCTGCTGTGCCTTCAGTGCGATGCCGCACAGCCGGGGACCTGCCAGGCCGAGTGCAGAGCGCAAAACGGCGCCCAGCCCTGGCCAGAGGCCGCCAGCTCCTGCCGGGCACAGGAGTCCTGTAGGTCAAGGATGGCCGCCCAGAGATGCTGGGCCTCCCTCAGGAATGAAGAGGCATTTGTTAATATTGATCAAGGGAACGAAGGACATGCTGTCCCTCTTCCATTTAAAAGCAGAACTGCTTATGGGAGGGGGAGCTTCCCCCTATATAGGGCATGGCGGAAAAGATCTCAGGCACGCCGGAGAGAACCTGCCCCATCGCCAAGGAGGCACCTTGTCCCTAGAGACCTGCTAGGGAAGAGAGGCAGAATCCGCCGTTCCGGCTGCCTTGAATCTCAAACGTCTTGTGGGGAGACAGGCACTGTGCCCCTTCCAATCCTCTGAACAGAGGGTGTGCCCCTGTAAACCAGTTCCTGGGGCACTTGGGAGGGGCTGTTCCCTCCCATCCCCTGGGCAGCTGGCCTAGAGGGACCCTCGGCCAGCCAGATCCAGCATAAGGGCTCTGATTCTCACCTCTGAAGTGCTCCCAAATTGTGGCACGGAGAGGTGACCTTGCTTCGAAAGTGAAGGAAGGTGGGAAGAGGAGGGGCGAGCGCCCTCACATTTTGCGGGGGGCTCTCAGCATCCAAAGTTCAGAGCCTGCGGGAAGGTGGGACTGTCGCTCAAAACCGCCTGCACCTTTCAGCCCGCGAAGGCGCTTGCGACGCAGGCACCCGAGGCGGGGAGCCCCCGCCCCCCCGCCCCACGGAGCGCCCCACGGGCCGCGGGGCTGCCGAGCCCACCCCTGCCCGCGCGCGGCTCCAGCGTGGCGGCGGCGGCCATCCCGCAGCTGGTCCGGGCCGGGGGCGCTCCCCCCCCCGGTGCTGCGCCCGATGCTTCGCTTCGCGGGACCGGGGGGGGCGCGGCGGGGGGGCCCGGGCCGTGCTCAGGCCTGCCTTTGCTACTGCTTCTCTAACCTGTTCGCAGACGGCTTTGCCACGCCCCATTTTGAACCCCGCCTGTTTGTTCTTGTCCTTTTCTGTTCCGTTTTCTTTTCGTTCTTCTTCCTGTCTTGTGTGTGTGCGTTTCTCTGGTGGCTTTTGAAGTCGTGAGTTTTATGGAAGGAGTGGCTTTGCCTCGCTCTTTAAGTCCGCCACGGCCCCTGCCACTCCGACTGAGAAACAGCCTCTTCTTCCTGCCTCCAGGCGTCCCTCCCCACCTGTGAGCATGCGGGACACCTACGGCACCTCCTCGCTCAGCAGCAGCAGCAACTCCGGCTCCTGCAAGGGCAGCGACAGCAGCCCCACCCCCAGGTAACCCTGGCCCCGCGCGGCGCCGCCGCCGGTCCCGGGCGCCTCCTGCGGGGTCTCACGCGCGGGCGCCGGCGCCTCTGCGCCAGCAGCGGGACTGCCTGACCGGGATCGCCTTGAGCCCCGCGCCTTCATGGGTGAGGCCACCCGGGCCCCCTGCAGTGACGTGCGACAGCATGAAACCGGGTAGTGGCTCTCCCGGGCAACCGCAAGCGTTTAGAACATGCACAGAGTGTTTTATGGATTCTGAGCCACGTGGGCCCAGCAGGGAGCACAGTCAGGAGAAGGTCTGCAGAGTGGGCTCAACACAATGGCGTTTGATTGTTGTTGTTGTTGTTGTCAGTCGCGAAGTCGTGTCCGACCCATCACAACCCCATGGACAACACTCCTCCAGGCCCTCCTGTCCCCCACCGTCCCCCGGAGTCCACCCAAGCCCACACCCACTGCCCCAGTGACTCCATCCAGCCACCTCATCCTCTGCCCTCCCCTCCTTCTTTTGCCATCTCTTGTTCTCAGCATCAGGCTCTTCTCCAGGGAGTCCTTCCTTCTCATTAGGTGGCCAAAGCATTTGAGTTTCATCTTCAGGATCTGGCTTTCTAAAAAGCATTTGATTGCAGGAGATTAACTTAATGATCCTGGGATTTTGAGTCTTGGTGTGCAAATGAGGGTGATTGCATTAACCTGGCAGCCTGACCAGTTCTTCCTGAGCAGCGAAACAGCCGCCCCGGCAGCTCCCTGGGGAAGCCATCAGGTCCCACTTCTTCCAGCAGCAGCAAATGCCAGCAGTGACCTGGCTTGGGATTTCTGGGCGCTTCCTGAGAAAGGGGTGCGGGCATTTTATAGCACAAAGCAACCCTTTTCTGCCAGGATTTAGCTGCATTTTCCCAACAAATGCAAGCTGGCCTTTCTGCTTGTTCGATTGCACCCAGAGTCTGCTCATCCAAGAATGATCCTAAGCTCTGAAGGGGAAGGTTTCATTTAGCTCTTCCGGCTGATAGCCATGTACAGCCTCATCATAAGGACTATGCCCAGCATAGGTGCAAATGTGAAGGTCTTTGAGCATAGAGTCCCCTAATCCCAGATACCAGTTGATCCAGCTAAGCAGAGACCCTGTAAATCAGGAAGGGTTTCAGGATGCAGGCCTCAGAAACTCACAGAGCGGTATCTTCTCCTGCTGGCATCCATTTCAACTTGCAGGAGCTCCGTGGCTGAGCAGAAAGCCCTTTTGCGTGAGATAATTTCCTGCGGAGACGTTGGAATTCCAGGTGCGATGACTGCGCATTGGGCAGGCGACTTGTGTCCTCCAGACGTTTTCACCTACAACTCCCAGCAGCCCTAGCCAGCATAACCACTGGCAAGGGATCATGGGAGCTGCAGGCCGAAACATTCGGAGGACCACCGGTGACCTGCCTCACAGGTGTGCACGGGCCATTATGCACACCAGGTGCAAGCTGTTGTGCATACAGAAAATAAATATTATGGGATCTTACAAACACAGCCCAGAGGCATTTCTCTGGGGAAGGCAGGTTCTTTTGTCCTTGTCTTACTTTTAGTGTAAATGCACCTGCACGATTCCAAATAAAGGCAGAAGAATTTGTAGCGAAATGCTAAACTGAAGCATGGATTTATGATGGTTTTTGGAAGTCATAGGCGCCCATATACATGAAGCCATGAAACAATGAGCTCATCAAACTCACACTGTTTGTGAGGATACAAGTGCAGCTAAAAAGTCGCTCAGCTTTTCCACTCTGCTCACGAGCAGATAAGCCGTCCTGCTCCATGTCAGTGGCACACGGATGGAGACCCAGGGAGTGATGCTACCGGTCAGGCCTCAATCCGTGGAGCCAGATTTCTCACCCAAAGGTGGATCCCGTGTTTAGACTCGGTTTTTTCAGACAGGTACGGCTGGGGAAGACACAGACTGCCGCTAAACCACACTTTTGCCCTGTTGATAAGAAGGAACATGCAGCTTGCAGCTCAAACGTTTTCCCATAGACATGCAATCTGTGGCGAAGGAACCAAGAGCGGACACGATGACGGTCACGGCTTATGCCAGCAGATGGCGTAGCCACCTACGGAGGCGCTTACGGATTACACGTTTTTGGCATTGCCTCGCCGCTCTCCGGTGCCTCGTCCCTCCGTACATCGTTCAGCCTACCTGTCATCCTGCTGCTGATGGTGCTCTCGTCCCTCCCTCCCTCCCATCACACCACGTCACTGTCAGCTGCCCAGGGTCGGACAGATTATGTAATAAAAACGTGATCTTAGGTGACAGCCCCACACGTCCTCTAACAGGCAGTTTCTGGGCCAGTTCAAAATGTCATTCTCGAGCTGTGCCCCTTTAAGTTCCCAGTCTCCGTCCGACGCAGTGGTACCGAAGTCACAATTTTCTTAGAAGTCCGGAGCTGCCCAGCTTCAGAGCTGTTCTGAAGTACTAAATCCTCTTTCTGCCCAACAGCCATCAGTAGCTTTTATATTCTCGGCCCCTCATTACATGAGGGATGTAGCCAGGTTGGAGTCGGTGCAGCGGAGGGCCACGGGGATGGTGGCTGGTTTGCAGGGGAAGCCAGACGAGGAGAGGCTGAGGGAGCCAGGTCTTTTCAGGCTGGGGAGGAGGAGACTCAGAGGGGACCTGTGGGCGACATATAAGTAGATGAGGGGGTGTCACATGGAGGTGGGGAGAGACCTGTTTTCCCCTGCGGAGGAAGGCAGGACACGCCCCAACAGAGCAAAGCTCAAGGGACCAAGATTCAAGGTGGATGCCAGGAAGCACTTTCTGATGGTGAGGACCCCCAGGGCATGGGATGGGCTTCCACGGGAGGAGGTTGAGGCCCCATTGGTGCGGGTGTTCAAGGACAGGCTGGACATGCACATGGTGGGCATGTCATGAGTGGACCCAGCTAGTGCCCGGGTCAGACTAGATGGCCCCTTCTGACTCGCTATGTTGTCGGCATGTCGTGAGCAGAACCGGCTGGAGCTGGGGGTCAGACTAGATGGCCCAGGAGACCTCTTCTGACTTGCTCTGTTTCTGTGTTTCTATGTTAAAGATGGCCCTTTTATGCTGTCTGGGAAGCACAGATGCAAGGGGTAGGAACGGGGGCAGTCAGCGACCCCAGAAGCTGTTATTATTACTTTTACAACAAGACATTCGCACCCCCTTTCCCCCTCCTGCAAGGAACCCAGGCTGGCTTCCAAAATTCTCAAAGTTCAGTCAAGTGCAGTGGTGGGAGGGGGGGGGGGGGAAGCAAGGAGATCCATCTGTACCCTGCTGTGAACAATCCGCAGAAATTGAAACAGGTCACTACCACTTACCCAGAACATTCATAGCATTTTAAAGACAACTTTACAGTCGCATTAACATTCTTATCTCTTGCTGGCCATATTCACACACAACAAGAAGTCTGGTCTCAGCCCTGGCAGGACAAACAGACATTCCAGGCCCAAGGGAAGAACGGCTCAACGCCAAGGCTTCTGAGGCACTTTTTGTCTACCAAATCATACAAAAACCTACCTATGTATTTAATTATTCTAGACATTTCTGCCCTGCCCTGCAGAGAACACTTCAGTCAAACAAGCCCCAGATTAATATGCACTCCACGTAATCACAGTAAAAGAACTGAGAAGAAAGATGGCATATCAAGGACAAGGCTCTCACACTTAAAAGGCTTGGGAAAGTAAAACTATCTTTGCACCAGAAAGAGGGCAAGCCAGTTGTCCCCCCAGGGAAACCATGCGCCCCTCTGAGGCACAGTCCCCTTTCCCGTCGCCACCCGTCCTTTCCGTGGCAGTGGAGGCACCTGTCCCGCGCGTGCGAGCGAGGGCGCTGGGGGTGGCCTCAGACTCGCAGGCAGGCCGGGGGGGGGGGCGCCTGGGCCACGCTCTGTCCCCACTGCAGCCAGTGCGGCTTGCGCGGCTATGTAGGAGCTCCCCTCCCGCCTGCCTCCCGAGGGCACAGGTGAGCCCAGGGTGGGGCTCGTGGGCGAACGCCACCCGGGGGCCTGGAGCTCAGCAAGTCCGTGCAGGCAGAGAGCCGCTCACCTGGCCAGCGCAGGCGCACGGGCCTTGTCTTGGAGGGCTGTCTAAGCCGCTCCTCTGCCACGTTTCCCTGTTTCTTCACCGCCGTTTCCCCCATGCCTGGGCAAGGGGCGCCCCTGAAGCACTCGCCGGCCTGGAGGGCTCCCCTGCCCTGTTCTCACCCAGCTTTGGGAGGGGGAGCTGGGCACATGCCCCGCCTCGGAGCAGCCGAAGGGAGTGCCGAGTTTCTGGCGTTGCAAAGCCCCGTTCCTGCCCCGAGGAGCTTGCCAAGTAATTTCCAGAATGAGAAAGGCGGAATAGAAAGGGGAGAAGGGCGAGGCGAACGAGGGTCGGATGTGCATTGGTGAAAGGGGGGGCTGTGGTCGGGCACTCTCAAGCCTCCGCAGAACCGGAGGTCAAGTCTGCCTCCCAGGATGAGGGACCGTGAGGGCTCCCCCCGGGCTCCCACGGATCGCGCTCGTTCCGTTCGCTCCCCAGCTGTTTTCTGCAAGCAGTTCGGGGCGAGCGAGGAGGAGCGACGGCCTGTTTTGACGGCTTCCTGTCTTTCCAGACGCCCCATCAAGTACATGCTGTGCAGCGATAACCACGGGATCAAGCCCCCAACCCCTGAGCAGTACCTGACCCCCCTCCAGCAGAAGGAGGTCTGCATCCGGCACCTGCGGGCCAGGCTGAAGGACACGCATGAGCGCCTGCAGGACAGGTCGGTATCGGCCGCCCCTGCGTCTGCGGCAGGTGGGCCCACGCTCCCCTTGGCCCAGTCGGCCGGCACCTTGCGCCTCTCCGAAACGTTTGACCGGGGGGTTCACTAACGCGGGAGGAAAAGCGGGGCTTGCTGGGAAGCGTCGCCCTGACGAGGTTGGCAGTGCTGGGCGGGGGACTTGGAAGGGTCTTCCCTGTGGAGACCCCGCAAGGTCGTGCAGACCCCGGCTGGTCTCCCAGGGAAGAGCCGTTGTCAATTTGCCAGAGCTGCACCATCTTGGTAGTGTCATCTTGGTGTTCAATGTGGATAAGTGCAAGGTCTTGCACTTGGGGCACAGGAAGGGGTGTCATAAGTGCAGGTTAGGGGACAAGTGGCTGGAGAGCAGCACTTGTGAAAGGGACCTCGGGGTGCTGGTCGACTGCAGGCTGAACGTGAGTCAGCCGTGTGATGCGGTGGCCAAGAGGGCCAATGCCACCCTTGGTTGCATAGCCAGAGGTGTGGCTTCTAGAGCGAGAGAGGGATTACTACCACTCTATGCGACTCTGGTGCGCCCGCAACTGGAGTATTGTGCTCAGTTTTGGGCCCCTCATTACAGGAAGGATACAGCCAGGTTAGAGTCAGTGCAGCGTAGGGCCACAAGGTTGGTGGCCGGTTTGCAGGGGATGGGGTATGAGGTGAGACTGAGGGAACTGGGTCTCTTCAGCCTGGAGAAGAGGAAACTCCGAGGGGATCTGTTGGCGACATACAGGTATGTGAGGGGGTTTCACACGGAGATGGGTAGAGACCTGTTCTCTCCTGCAGAGGAAGGCAGGACACACAGAGCAAAGCTCAGGGAGCCAAGGTTCCATTTGGATGCCAGGAAGCACTTCCTGACAGTCAGGACCCCGAGGGTGGGAATGGGCTTCCATGGGAGGTCGTTGAGGCCCCATCGGTGAGGGTGTTCAAGGATAGACTAGACATGCACATGGTGGGCATGTTGTGAGTGGAGCTGGCTGGAGCCAGGGGTCAGACTAGGTGGCCTGGGAGGCCCCTTCTGACTCGCTCTGTTTCTATGATAGGTCCCTGTTCTAGTTTTTTGCTCGTTTGGGGCACTGATCTTTCCCCCTTCATCTTTCCCAGTATCCACCCCTCCATGCAGGGTGCTGGTTTAGTACATCCTAGCCCTCCTGAGTATGACTTCAGGCAGTCAAAGGATGAAACGTGAGACTTTCCAAGAATGCCACAAGCCAGTGAAGCACCAGAGCTGCATCCTTTGGCTTCCACAAGCCCCATTCAGCACTCTGGGGGCCTTAGGGAAGCCAATAAAGGTAATTTTTCAGAATCTGCACAATAGGTTTTTGGAATTTCTTTCTATGGAAAACATAAATAAGCAACCCATAAAGACGATAGCAATACATAATCAAAAAAAGTATTTCACAGAACTGGCTTGGTAAGCACTGATCACTCACAGCCACTTGCTAGAAATCAGGGCAGCGCTCGTAATGCTTTTTGCACTGAATGTTGGGGTTCGGGGCCGCGTGGAGTGCGGGAGCAGCCCAAACCGCCACCATCTGCTTGTCTGCCTGCTTCAGGGATGCGGAGATTGAAGACCTGAAGACTCAGCTCTCGCGGATGCAGGAGGACTGGATCGAGGAGGAGTGCCACCGCGTGGAGGCCCAGCTGGCGCTCAAGGAGGCCCGGAAGGAGATCAAGCAGCTGAAGCAGGTCATCGACACCGTCAAGAGCAACCTGATCGAGAAGGACAAGGGGCTGCAGAAGTACTTCGTGGACATCAACATCCAGAACAAGAAGCTGGAGACGCTGCTGCACAGCATGGAGGTGGCCCAGAACGGGGCCGTCAAGGAGGAGGGGGCGGCCGAGTCCGCGGGTGGCTCTCCGGCGCGCTCCCTCACCCGCAGCTCCACCTACACGAAGCTGAGCGACCAGGGCGCAGCGGACAGGAACATGGGGGGCTCCCAGACCATCTCGGTGGAGGAGGGGGCGGACAGTGGCTTTGCGGCGGCCGAGGACTCGCTGAGCCGGACCGAGCTGCTGGACCAGAGCAGCCTGGTCTCCTCGGGCGTGGACTGTGGCATGGACGAAGGCTCCCTGCAGACCTCCTTCACGCTGGGCTCCCGGGTCCCGACCAGCTCCACCTACGAGAAGCTGATGGGGTCTCAGCAGAGTGTCGAGGCCGCGGTGCAGGCGAGCTGCCTGCAGGAGCAAGCCATACAGACGGACTATGTGCCCTACGAGCCGGACCTGGACACCATCCTGGAGAAGGTCATGAAATCCCAGGCCGGCAGCCTCGGCAGCCCCACGTCAGTGTGGGTGTCCGAAATGGAGGATGCCGCCGAGGCCAGCAGCTCGGAGCCCCGTGGCCAAACCCTCGCGGGGGCCGTGGATTTGGCCGCCCCCGAGCCCAGCTCTGCCGCGGCAGCCGGTGCAGGGGAGCAGGCGGAGAACCCAGCAGGACCCCCGGGGTCCCCGAGCCCGGAGGCCAACAATCCCTCGGGGCAGCAGCCCCCCCGTGCGAGCGAGTCCGTGAGCATCGTGTGTGCTCCGGAGGATGACGAGTGGGCCGAGCCCGGCCAGGACACCGCCGGGGCGGCGGCGGCGTCCGCCCTGGAGCCCAAGACGTACTGGAGCCGCCACTTCATCGTGGATCTGCTGGCTGTGGTGGTGCCCGCCGTGCCCACGGTGGCCTGGCTGTGCCGCTCCCAGCGCAGGCAGGACCAGCCCATCTACAACATCAGCTCGCTGCTGCGGGGCTGCTGCACCATCGCGCTGCGCTCCATCCGCAAGATCAGCTGCCGCTCCGTCGCCAGCGCGAGCGGCACCTCCGCCCAGCCGTAGCCGCGTCCGGCTGTCCGGCCGGCCGGCAGCATCGCACACCCGCCTGGGGGAGAGAGCGCGTCCTGAGGGCAGCGGCCATTCGGCTGACCACTGATTGTAGGTTCCATACACGTCCCGAAACTCCTTATTTCCTCACTCTCTGGGTGTTGGTCTGGGGACACGAGGACAGCTTGACGCGAGTTCCGCCCCGCTCCGTCTCACGTCGCGCTAAGTGACCTGAGAGGCGGCGTCGCTGCTGTTTCGGAATTCTTGGAGGACGTGCAAATGGAAGCGAATTGTCTCTGCGTTGCTGTAGCCAGAAGGCCAGCTGCCTCTTTGGAAGGGCCCTCTCCTTCTAGGGGATCCGGCTTCTGGAAAGGGGTCTGCCATCCCACTTCAAGAAAGTTACAAGACTTTCCTTAAGCGGCTGGTCCAGCCCATTCCGCTGCTTTCCCTCTTAGGCTCTCTCCAGACATTTTGCGGTTTGGCCAGGAAGACTCCCCAGGGCTGCAGCTGTTGTCTTTCTCTTCCATTTCTTCCAAGGCTTTCTTTACGATCCCTCCTAAGACCATAGGGAGCTGCCCTTATACTACCCAGGTGCCCAGGTCTTTGCCACCAGGCCCCCCACCTGCTCTGCACACCCCCCCACTCCATTCTCATCCTGCTCCATTGCTACGCCTGATCAGCATCACCCCCGTTCCTCAACCCAGGGCCCTCCAGAAGTTTGGGGCTTCAGTTCTCACCAGCCCTGCCGACACAGCCAGTGATCCCGAAAGCTGGGAGTGGCCGTCCAACACTCCTGGAGGCCACCGAGTTGGGCAGGCGGCCTTCCAGCCAGGTTGCAGGACTAACTGAAGGTCATTTTGTAGATCCTGGAGGGGAAGGAAAGTGGCCCCCCAGGGCCGCCTAGCGATGGAGAGAGAGATCCTAAGTCACTGCCAGCGATGGAAGGGGTGGATCCTGCAGCTCTCCCTTCTTTCGTCCCATCGCAGGCAAAATACCTGACCGGGACCCTAGCAAGGTGGAGTTCCTGGCCAACGTGCCCCGCCACCCCACTGGCCCCGCAAACATTTTCCTGTCTGTCGGACGGGTGAGCATCTCTGAGCGCTGGCTAAAATACACTGAAAGGTTTCAAAAAGTGCATGCGCATCCTGACATTGACTTCTTTTTGCAAAATGAAAAAATGGGGCTTCATCCATTTGGCTCCCACTTTTCAGCCCCTCCTGCTGTCTCTGGTGGAGCCGCTCTGACGGGGCTGAGAGCCGGGGCCTTCCCTGCCCATCCGATAGAAAGGAAGCTGTTCCGATTTAGAAACAGCCCCTGCAGACGGGGGGTGGGGGGGGTAGACTGCGCGTCCTGCAAGGACATGGGTCCTTGTTAAACAGGCAGCCTTCCTCACTTGCTCTGAGTACTTTGAATTCCACATTTCTTCTGTACAAGACGAATTACGCAAGTTGGTGCTGCTGGGAACGGAGGCTGTGGCACTGGCGAACCAGAGGCCAGTCTTGCCCGGTTGTGGGGCCGGCGATCTTTGTAAACCTTTGGCAGCTTCCTAAATCTGGCAGTCATGAGGGGACCTTGAGGACTGGCAGCCTGCTCTGCCCGTTAAACACACCAGTGCATGGGGCTTCATCCTGCCCCCCCCCCACCACCATTTCATTCCAAGGATCCACGTTTCAGACCGCAAGGCCCTGCAGTCCCTTACACCTGAGCCAAGCAATGAACCCCCATTCGAGCTCATTTCCTCCTCTACCTCTGCTTCCTTTCTGGGTTCAGGCCCAACACCTGAACACCAGCAACTCTCACCTGGATGCCCCCATGCCTGCCCCCCCCCCCCCCGCAGGCAGCTTGATTGGCCAACTGCAAGCCAATAATGCTTTTCTCCCTCCACTAATTGCTAAAACATGCACAGTTTCTCAGACTCCATCCTCTTGCTTCCTGCAACCTGCATTTCTGATGTCAGGTATAAACTTTCCAGTTTTCTACTTAGAAAATCTCCCCTAACACACACTTTTTTTTAAACAACCCACTAAGGAAAAATTCACATTATCGAAGTCTTGCTGCCCCTTTACAGGCATCTTCAGCATTCGTGAGAAGCAGTTGACACCAGGAACAAATTACGCAGCATATAAAATTATTTTAGAGAGATGGTTGTTAGGAGAATCCACATAGAATTGCTTCTCAGTGGTATAGAAGCCCAAGAGGCCGCACATTGTGTAGTATTTGGCTGAGATGTTTAATTTTTTAGACTCGGGCCTATCTCAAAATCATGACCCAGTACTCTGAATTTTCTATCCCTGATTGTTCCATGTAGCAGATGCTGATTGATGCTGCACTGGCAAAAGGAAAAGGCACTCTGCACTTTGTCAGAGACACTCACGTCATTATTTCACAGCTTCTAGAGTTAAGCCTTGGAGAGTCTGTACCATTTTCAAAAATAGCACTCTGCTGGGAGGCAAAACTGAAGCAGGCATTCTTGAGACTTCAAGAAGTGTTGCAGGGAAGGGAGAGAGAATTCAGCAGCTCTGCACCGTCGCCACCCCAGAGTGTTACGGAATGTAGTGAATTATGAATGTTGTGTGCAAAAAAATCACTTTCGATGACCACGGAAATGTCACTCCTGCCACCGTCCCCCAGCCCGCTCACAAGACTTTTGAGCTGTTGATTCTGCCCCTGCGCTGCCGAGCTGGAAGCTCGTTCTCGGTTTTCCGTGTCTCCGAAGCAGCTGCAGGACAAGTGCCCAGCCAAGGAGAGTTGCCAGTGACGTACCTCGGGCAGAGGAACTTGCTGTTTCGCCCCTCCCCTCCCCTCCCCTCCCCTCCTCTTTGGGGCACGGATGGAGGTCCTTGAGTCAGTTTTCTCTTGCTTTGCACTATGTTCACTTTTTGCAACCTTGAACCCACTGGACAAAGGTGACAGGCTGAAGACGCTGGACGGCTGTGTGGCCCCGCGAGCATCTCGCCTCCGCGCCGCCGGAACATCCGATTGCCTTCCAGAACTGAAGAAATTAGAAGATAGCCAAGAACCAAGCAACAGCCCTCCGGTCCCCGGTTGCTTCTTCCTTGCATCGTGTGAGCTTCGAAAAAGAGATAGGAGGCCGACGCTTGGTGGTCTTTCTAGACGAGCAGAGTTTGAGCAGAGGAGAGTGTGCTGTGCCAGATGTCTGCGGATGGTCGCTCTGCCCATTCTGGGCCATGGCCAAGCCAAGCGTGGTGGGTTTCCTGTGGGGCAGGGTGGTCAGAAGTAGGAAGTGGCGAAGACGCCCAGCCTCTCCTCCTCCCATGGACTTTCTTATGAAGGTGCTTGCGCGACAGTTTCTACCAACTTAAATTCTGCCGCTGCAGCCGGCTAACCAAGTGCCGCCGCGGCAGGTGGCGGAGGGCAGGCAGAGAGCGTAGAGCACTGAGCGCAGCATGCGCTGAGCACCACGCAGGCCGCTTTCCTGTCGGAAGGGAGAGCAACCCATTAATTAGATGGGGACCCGTGAGCAGGGCGCAGTTTGCAGCTGCTGCCGCTGGCTTGCGGGCACTGGGGAAGCCAGCTCTGGCCTGCCAGGATCCCTCCTGGGTTCTGCTTCGGCGCCACATCGGACTTCTGCGAAAGAAAGCTAATTCTTAAAAAATGCCTCAGTGCCCTCCCACGCACACACCCCTGGGACCATGTTGCAGAATGTCCTCCAAGCATCCGCGGTTTCGTTTCTGGCAGCCATGCTGCACGACCCGTCTCCCCACAGGGAGCCGCCCAGAGTGATGCTTGGCGCAAGTTTCCGTGGAGGAGGCCAAGGCGACGTGGAGGGGGAGGGACGGACAGGCCCCCCCCAGGTTACCGTTTGCGGCAGGAGCAGCCATGGGGGCCACGCTTGGGGGGAAACCGCACGCCGCTGCCACTGCGGTTCTCACTTCCTCACCTCTCAGCAGAGGGGGGAATTTCAGAGGCCCTTTAACGCAACTCTAGTTAGTATCGCTAGGAATGCAGATTTGGGAACGTGCCTCGAGTTGTGTATCAGTTTCAAAGCAAGCGTGGTGCTCAAAAGACCGGAAAGGGGACGTCATCTCTGCCCCAAGGAGCCTGCAGTCTACATTAGAGGAAAAGTATGGGGCAGGAGCATGGGCCACAGGTGCATGTGTGGGCTCCTCCAGGAAATGGCGGGGGGGGGGGCAATGAAACTGGCACAATCTGCTCCGGCGGATATGGAGCAGCTGTGCCCCCCCCTTTCATGCAAGGCACTCAGGAGAACTAGATGCGAAGGAAGCCGTGTGGCTCGCAGCCCCGGGCGCATCCAAGCTGTGCTAGAGCGGGGGGTGGGCAGGTGGCCTTCCAGGTCTCGTCTCTGTGCAGAGCCCCCCACCTCTTTCTCCATAGTGGCACACGCTCGCCCGAGTTTCAGGCTTGGTGAGCCTGTGCCAGTTGCTTCTTGCTTCACTTGGCCCCTGTTCTCCCCTGGGGAGGGTGGGGGCGGTACATCAGCACCCCCGCTTTGCAGCTGCAGCCTCCACGCCACAGCCTGTGATCCCTCCCCCCGCCCCACATCTAGGGTGCCGTGTGTTGCAGGACGGTGACCCTGTGGGAGCAACCCAGCCGTCCCGTGGCTCTGGCACAAGCAGCGAGCGCTGAAGGCCCGTGGGGGGCCGTCCGTGGGGCCTGCAGGCTCCGCTCCCCATCCAGGCCTCCGCTCTTCTAGGAGCATGAAAACAGGCGTCCCTCCAGGGGCCAAGCCAGACGCCGTGGGGGCAGGAGCCTGGCATGCTTGCGCTTTTACGGGGGGGGGGGGCAATTCTTTCCTTCTGCCCCCCAAGTCTCTGCAAAAAACTCTCCCCCCACACACACCACCATTACCCTGGGTGGAGAACTGCCCACTGAGGGGCATTTTCCCAAAGGGGGGAACCCTCGCCTGCTGCAGCCGCAGCGAACACCACCCCATGCTGGAGGCGCATTGGGCATCCCCTCCGTGGGGCTGCGTCAGGGAATGGGGACCCCTCCGTGGGAAAGCAGGCGATGCCAGACCGTCCGCGGCATCGGGGCAGCCCCTTGCTTCCTGCGCTCCAAGGGGGGGCCGCCTCCTCCGCAGAGAGAAGCGCGATGTCCTGGGCTTCGCTCTCCCTCGCCCGAGTGGCCTGAAGGAGCCCCGCCCTAACCCCGCGCCCTAGCAATGTGCCGGACTCCATGTCCCATCATCCCCACCCAGCAGTATCCTCTGCTGCGGGGCTGCCTCCCTGAAGGCAGAAAGCATTCCGTGGAAGTTCGGAGCTCAGGCGCCTGCAGAGGCCAAGGTGGGTGGCCGGGCGGTGGACGGAAAGTGCGGCTCGTGTGTCGTGTTTTGGGAGAAGGGGAGCGGCAGGATTCCAGAAAGGGTCGTTTTTGGAAGGGAAAAAGTACTGACACCCCCATGTGACGCCCCGGGGGGCCGATCAGGCTGTCGGGCAGACAGGGCGCTGGCCCTCTGCCAGGTGGGCTTCCCGTAAAGAGCAGCCCGTGGGGGGGGGGGTTCTCGCTGCGGATTCTGAGGGGCCGGGCCAGGCTGCCCCCCGTGACCCCCTCCTCGTCACCGGGGCCCCCTCTGCGGCCCGCGACTGCCAGACCCAATCCGCACCACCTCCCAGCACACGCGTGTGAGGAGAGAGGCGGCCATGGCTCCCTTTCCTCCCCGCTCCGGTGCCCACCTGGGGCCCTCGGCCGGTGCCCAGGCAGGGCCCCCAGGGGTGCCGGTCCCAGCCCTGCAGCACAGACCCGCCTCAAGAGGCTGACGTCGCGGGGCCAAATTGGCCCCCCAGACAGGTCCGCCTTAACCCGACTCTGCCGCAGGCCATGCTGGTCCGCCCCCCCCCTTCACATAGCTTCACTCTGGGCTCCCGGGTTGCATCACACCCTCCTTGCCACTCTGGGGAAGCCCAGGGCCCTTCCGCACACAGAGCAAGCCCTTGAGCGGCACCGCTCGCGTCGCTTCCGGTGCAAACACGACGGGGAAGCGGTGGCCGGGGCCGATCGTCGCAAGTCCGGGCCACTGCTTCATGGGTGGCGCACATGCCCCCGGAGAGTAAGGCAGGGATGCGCTTGTGGCCAACGGCCCACGTGGCTGGGCTTGAGGGGACACGCCGTGCTTGGACCCGAAGCGGCCGCTCCAGGGAGCTCTGAGTAACCTTCCGCATTCGCCGGGGTGCCGGAAGTTGTGAGAACTGCGGGGGGGGGGGGGTGGGGGGTCGTGCCTCTGCTTTAACTGTAAAGTATGTGGGTAGGGAAAGAGAATGTACTTTGGCGAGAAGGTCGCAACCGTGGTTGGTACACCAGGAAACGAGCCGCTTGCGCAATGTACCCGTGGATACGTGTTCACGTCTGTTCGACTATCCAAAGCTCTGCTGAGAAATAAATGTATGACTATATTTGAAAGAGAAAGATCTATATAATATATTTTTAAATACGGAACTTAAAAGCTGTATACTCTTCTTCAGTTTTAATTTCCACTGTCCTGTGACCTTTGTCTGTTGGTGGCTGTAATAAAACGTTGTTTGGGTCTCCAAAGATGTTTGCTTCTGATGCGGGGCGGTCTGAGGCCACGACACAAGGAAGCCCCTTGCCCAAGCCGGAGGGGGCAGGACGAGCTGCCTGCAGGAGTGCCTTGCAGCACGGACCCCCGCTCACCACCGAGCCCGGATGCGGCCCCTTCCCCTCGCGTCAGCCCTCTTGTCCTTCCCGCTTCTTTGCAGGGCCGTGCCACAAATGTGCAGAACAGCACCAGGACCGCGGAAGAGAAGCCCAGTTTTGGTACAGAATCGCCTCTTTGGGAGATCATCGTTTGTAACATCTGTGACACATCAGTGGATCACCAGGATTCTCACAAAAAGAGCAAAGCAAACGACAAGACGGAGAGCAGGGCAGCCCCCCACCCACGAAAAAGTTGGCACCAGAATGGGCTATTTGGCCATGTGAGCAGTCCTCAGAGGGTGTGTTTTGTGTGTCCGGATTGTGCATGAGCGGTTACGCAGAGCAGAACACTGGCCGCTTCAGGTCCTCCTGCGAGAGAGAGTCACACTTGCTGGGTGAATTCACCCTCCCAAGCTCAGCATGAAACTATGCTCAGAGGCTGCTCGGGCTGCAGGACTCGGCCTTGGGTCAGCCTCAGTCCACACTGGGAAATTCTGCCGTCCGCAAGGCGTATCAAAGCTGCCAGCGCTGGGTTTGTCCTTCGTCCCTGAGGGAAAAGAGACCATTTCCAAGGGCAGAGTCCGTGGTGCATTTCAGGTCAGGAAGGGCAGGTGGCGGAGGGAACGGACCTCTTCGGAATGGCAGTTTCACACGTCAGGTACTGAATGGTCCATGGAAGATTTCACTAGCCCACTCGAAAGTCTTAAGGGAGAGAGGGAAGGACATGGGGTCAGTCCTGGGTTTGCAGGAGTCCCTTCAGATGGGTCAGAATGCTCACTTTCGCAGCCAAGACCAAAGCTGGGATTAACAGGACTTGGCTGCTTGGGCGGGCGGTGGTGGCGCAGCAGTCCCGCCAGCCGTGCTGGCCACGCAGGCCCTCCGGGTCAGGCCCCCACTGTGGAGGGCGGCTCTCTGCAGGCTGCGGGGAGGCAGTCTGCCGGCCTGCTGTGGGAAGCAAGACCTGAGGCCCTTGCTGGGATCCAGCAGGGCTCCCCCCCCCCCCCCGCCAGCATATTCCAGGCGAGACCCTGGCCGGGCCCACCTCTTGCCTGAGGCCAGATACCAACCAGGGATTTTCCAGCAGGCTTGCTCGCCCCCCTGCCCCCCCCCCGTCCAGCACCCGCCCTTGGGCACTTACCTTTTGATCATGTGCTCAAAGATCACGGCGGGGATGATGGTGAGCGTGATGATGTCACCGGCACTCATCAGAATGCTTGTGATCTGCTTGTCCTTTTGAGAACAAGGGGGAGGCTGGTGAGCTCGGCGCGGGGGCAAAGGGACGGGCACAGCTGCGCAGGGCAGGCTGCACCCGTGCCTTGATGGGGCGGCTCAAGCACCCGGTCACCCCCCCCACTCTGGTGCCCGGTGTGCACCCGCCCCTCCTCACAAGCGGGGCCCAGGCCTGCCCAGAGGGGTGGGAGGGCAATGCCCCCGCTCAGCACCCCCAAGGCTCCAGTCCGTGCAGTTTGGAACCGGGTGCAGAAGCGGCTTTCATTGCACCACGGAAGAAAGGAAGGAGAACTTCCAGGTGCGTCCCCAGTTCCAAGTTGAGCCAGTGGAATCTCTTTCAACGGAGGGGCCAAATCCAGTTTTGGAGAAGTTCCCAGGGGCCACCTTCCCACGGTGGGGGGTTAAAGGGATGGGACCAGCATGGCAGCGTGTTTTAGCTCAAGGGCCTTTCCGCAGGTAATGACGCCTCTGGAGAAAGGCCTCCGATCCTTTCTTTCCCTTGGGTGCTCTCCTGACTTGGGCCTCCGAGGAAAAGAGGCCCAAGACAGGAGAGCACCCAAGGGAAGGGGGATAGCCGGGGAAGCCGCGGCCCTCGCGGGAACGCCGGTGGACTGGGCGGGAAGGCAGGCGGGCGGGCAGAGGCCGCACTCCCACCCCACCGGTTGCGTCCCCTGCCCCACGTCCTCACCTGGAGGCCGACGACGTTCTGCCCGTTCACCTCGCAGATGTAGTGGTGGGTGAGGAGGCCGTTGCGCGCCGCGGAGCTGCCCCGGGCAAGCGCGCTGACCTGCCCCTTCTTGACGACGAAGCCGACGTGGCCGCTGCCGTCCTTGTGCATAGTCACCGTGCGCTGGAAAGGCCTGCCGGGAGCAGACGAGGCTTGGGGTCCCTGCCCTGGCCGAGCCGCGGGCTTGTTCCAGGAGCACCGCGAGCGCTCGGAGACCCCCCCCCCCCCGTTGGCTGACTTCGGAAGCAGGCGCACTGAGCGTGAGAGGACACAGCCCTGCTTCTCTCTGGTGACACCACTTCGGACTGGGGGCAGGGTGTCCTAGGAGTGAACGGTCCTCCAGAGAGAAAAGATCCCTCCAAAGGGACTCTGCATTTCCTCCGAATGCAAAGGGAATTTGCACTTCAGGAAGAATGTGCTGCTTTTCATCATGGAGGCTGTTCTTTAAAGGGAGGATGTGATCAGCTGAGCCTCCCATTCGTGTGGAAGCGGTGCAGCCTGGCCGGACGCCAGGTGGCCTCCTCAGCCGGGACCAGGCCCACGCTGCCTGTCCCGAATGTTGCTCTGGGAAAGCCAGACGCCCGCGGAGCTCACCTGTGTGAGGAAACCACTCCAGAGATCTCCCGGCAAGCTTTGTGGCCAACAAGCGGAAAGACCGCGGGGGTTTTTAGCATCCGGTGAGGCAGGGGGGCCTTCCGCTCTGGGACAGCAGAAGGCCACGTCTGGGGAGTCTTAGCCCAGTCACAGAGCACAGGAGATGACCCGTCCTGGGCCAGCCTGTCCCCTCCCCGCCCGCCCCCAAGCAACTGCTCGGGTTCCTCCGAGCCCAGCGGACGAAGAATCGCCCAGGAGGAAGGAGCCCTCCAGCTGCAGGGGGCCTCCCTGGCGTTCTTCCTCCCGCTGCGGGGGAGGCCCAAGCAGCCCATGGGTCAGGAACTGCTTTGCTGCTCACCTGGCCTCGCCCCCGTGTCTGAAGCTCACCTGTCGCGGACCACCATGACAATCTTCTCCGGCGAGGCCTTCTTCAGCACGCGCTTCGCCCTGTCCATGCTCCAGCCCGCGCAGTCCTTCCCGTCGATCTGGAGGACCTGGTCCCCGAAGCGCAGCCCCACCAGGGCCGCGGGGGAGTTGGCCTTGACCAGCTGCACAAAGAGCCCCTGGGGAGGGGACAAGGGGGGGCCTGAGTCCCCGGCCGCTTTTTCACGAAGCCGGAACACAGCAGCTGCGCCAGCGAGGGCTGGAGAGCAGCAGCCGAAGCAGGAGGGGAATGCAAAGGCCACTTCCTGGAGAAATGCACGGCTCGCTGGAACCCTGAACTGCAGATTCCCTGGTAGGAGGTGAGGACTGTTGGGAAAATGCAGCTAAATCCTGGCAGAAAAGGGGTGCCCGTGCGTCTTTGTGTTATAAAATGCCCACACCCCTTTCTCAGGAAGCGCCCAGAAATCCCAAGCCAGGTCACTGCTGGCATTTCCTGCTGCTGGAAGAAGTGGGACCTGATGGCTTCCCCAGGGAGCTGCCGGGGTGGCTGTTTCGCTGCTCAGGAAGAACTGGTCAGGCTGCCAGGTTAGTAACATTGCCATCAACCCTATTTGCATGCCAAGACTCACAATAATCCCCTGATGATTAAGTTAATCTCCTACAATCAAATGCCATTGTGTTGAGCCCCCTCTGCAGACCCCTCACCTTCTTCTGACAGTGCTCCCCTTATTTTGTCATCAACTGCCCAGCTGCTGGGCCCACGTGGCTCAGAATCTATAAAACACTCTGTGTATGCTCTAAAAGCTTGTAGTTGGTGGTGAGATCCACTACCCGGGATCATGCTGTCGTAAGTCCCTGCAGGGGCCTGGGTGGTCTTTCAATCGAACTGCGGAGGTTCAAGGCGAAAGGGTCTTTCCGGGCTGAACCCGAGGATCCTTGTCACGGCTGCCAGCGAGGCTTTCCAGACAGGGTCCACCACAACTTTTTCCCAAGTCCTCCCCCCAGGTTGTGACGATCACACAGCAGCCCTTGGATCACACATGCCCCTGTTGTCCGTACAAGCCCGGCAGCGCAGCTTCCCCCGTGACCACAAGTCCCCCAATCCCCGGCCAGCCCTTTGTGGGAGACTGCGCTTGAGCACACAAGCCCTCCAGCGCTCCGGAGAGCAGCAGGCCATCCTGGACAGCCGGCCGGCACAGCTCCCCGCTGGTGGCAGGATAGAGCCCGTTCCAGCCCCTCCGAGGGGCAAGCGGGCTGCTCTCGGGCCGCTCCCGGCCTGGCCCCCCTCCATGGGAAGCCCCTCGCGCCCAGAGCCTCCCGGAGAGAGGGGGAAGGGACCCCGGCTCTTCAGAGAGTGAGGCCCTCCCCAAAGTTAATCCCCCCCTCGCTTTTCTGGCTGCACATCCAGCACAATTATACCTCGTTACACATCGAACTGCCTCGTTACACCGTGCAAAGTTGCGGAACAAGGAGCAAAGCCGCCAGCAGAGAGCCAGCAAGGGGGCCGCTCCTTTCCTGCCAATATTCCAGGGCAGGGTGAAGAGCCGGGATTCCACCGCAGGCTGCATTACTGAGCGCAGCTTTTCCCAGGCTGTTGCCCTCCAAGGGTGGACCACAGTTCCCATCCTTCCCAGACAAGGGTCATGCCAGAGAAAGGCTCTCCCCCAGAAAAAAAAGCCATCCCTTTCCTCCAAGATGCCAATTAGGGTTTTGAAGCAAAAATCCCGAGCATCTGGGGCTGCAGCCCCACCTTCCTGGGCACAGCGTTCCTGCATCAGGGACTCGGTCTTGCTGCCACGACTTCAGACGGCAGAAATGAGGCCCCAGCCTTAAATTAATCCAGACGGAACAACCCAAAGCAAACATTCGCACTGCCGGCTTGGAAGCCTCTCGCAGCAGGTTGCACAACTCCCCGGAGGCACCAAGCGGCGCCAGTCACGCACAAGCTGCGGGGTCAGAGGCGGAGCGCACCGCCCGCGCCCCACGCAGGAGGGCCTCCCGGCCAGCCGGCCCCACAGAGCTCGGCCCCCTGCCCTGCCCAGACCCCTCCCCCAAACCCACCTTGTCGATGTTCCTCAGCCGCAGGCCCGTCTTGCCACGCTCGTCTTTGCAGAGGTGGACCTCGCGGAGGCCTGGCCTGATCTCTGCCCGGCGCAGCCCCACGTCGCTTCCCGTCACTGGAGCAGCAATCGGGCCGTGCGCAGAACCCGCCGCGGCCACCGCCTGCCAAAGCAGCAGCAGGAGCCACGTTAATCCCCTCCCCACTCAGCCGGCTGCCAAGACCCCCACCCCGGGCCCCCAGCCGCCTTGAGCAACATCGGCTGGCCCCCTGTTCTCTGGGGACCGACTTCTCCCCACCCAGAGGACTGCGCCAGCGCCTGATCTGGGACGCTCGCACCTCCTTTTTTCGGCACGATTCAAGGCGGAATTCGGAGAGCCCTGAAGAGTTCAAGTCATGCTGATCTGCACGACCCGAACGAAGAGTTTCGCGTCCGAGCACCTTCCTAACGTCCCGCAATGCAGGAAACACTTCCACGCCATCACGCCTTGCGGACGGCCGCAGAGTTGGATCTTCTTGGTGAAAATAGCGATGGGTGAACGGAAGGCGAAGATCCAGCGCACTCGGACAAGCCGCTGGGACTCCTGGTGGGATTTCTCTGGGCACAAGCCCACCCGACAAGCCCATGAAAAGCCGAGAGCCTGCATGCGCCCAGAAACGCTTACGTGGCTGCTCGCTGGGGCCAGTGCCAGATTCTTCCGGACTTCCTCACTTGACAGCGAGAGCCCCATGTAGTCATTGAGGTCAGCAAGGTCGGGGTACAGAACTGGTGGCTCTGGGGAAAAGAAAGCGAAAGAGGACCTCAACTCAGAGCGTTCCTTTCAGAATCCAGGCTGGAATCTCAGCGCCGGCATCCGCCAAAGCAGAAACCTCTGGACTCACGAATGCCAACAGCCCACGCTCACCGTGTGAACGAGCCAGCACCAATCAGCACATCCGACGCGGCTTTCACGTCACTCGGTGTGAGATCACATCGCACTTTTCAGCAGAGCCAGGTCACACGGCCAGCCAGCTTGGGGTCCCCTAGAGCCGAGCGCCACGCTCTCAGCTCAGCACCGTCCACAAGGCAACCCACAAGCTTCCGCTACGTGAGCAGCCTCTGTGGCTTCGGAAATCATCGCTTGAGATGTTTCACCGCTTCATAAGCCTAAACGGCTTGGGACCTGGGTATCTAAAGGAGCGCTTGCGCCCATATATGCCCTCCCGCCCCTTGAGATCGGCAGCAGAGGCCCTTCTCCGGGAACCCTCCGTGAATGATATTAGGAGGGTGAGTACCCGGAGGAGGGCCTTTTCTGCGGTGGCGCCCCACCTATGGAATGCGCTCCCCAGAGAGGTCCGCCTGGCACCGTTGTTACTTGTTTTTCGGTGCCAGGCCAAGACCTTTTTATTTAAAACTTATTTTAATTGCTAAATTATTGTATTTATTAGGATTTTAAAATTAGCCGAGAATGCACCGGGGGGGGGGGGTTAAATGTTTTTTTTTCTTTTAAATTGTTATATTGTTATTGTTTATGTATTTTTTTGTGTATTTTTTGTGAGCCGCCCCGAGGCTTTGTTGCAATGGGGGTGGCACAGAAATGTTTTAAATAAATAAATAAAAATAAGCCACGTTTAAACCTGTGACCTGGCACCACCGAAAAGCACGGAGGGGTGGTGAGAGGATACTGTGATGCGACCTGCTGCGGCTCGTTCACACGTGCAAATCACCCACCTGATGCCACGGGTGACATGTGACCCATCCTGGGGTCGTCTGCAGGCAGGTGTGAATGCTGCCTTTGGCCCACAGTCTCCAGTCCCCCAGCCAGGGTCGGGTCTGTCCACCCTAGTGAGCCGTCTCTGCACCCGAGAACAGCGCCTGACAGATGCACGGACCGGCACTGGCCCAACTTGCCTCTGAGGAGGTCCGTGACCTCTTGGCTACAAAAGCCAACACTGCATTAATGCAGCAGGTTTTAAGGGTGACACAGAATTCCGCGTTTTTTTCAAGCAGAGTTACCAGTGGATTTGGGTAGCTCGGGATCCTTCGCTGCAGCGGCTCCAGGAACTGAACCCGAAGATGCAGCTAGCGCAGGGGGGGCAGCTGGTGCCTTCGGGGCCACATTATTCTGGGCCTGCAAGGACAGAAACAGGACAAGACTTTGGTGCGCCTCTGTTGACGGTGGTCACGTGGCAGTCCTCCCTCGTTTGCCGCAGCAGCGGTCATTCTGGAGCCGCCGTGAGCCCATGCGCAGAAGGCCTTCCCTTCACACCTAGACCGTGGCAAGCCCCCAAGGAGCCCGGGGCAGGGGGCCAGCCTTCCAGGCCGGCTAGTGCCCTGGGGGATGCCCCGGCGAAGTCCACCGGCCGGGCACAGCCAGACTGGGACGGCTCTTGCAGAGCAGGAGCACCGAAACCCGCCCAGAACGGAGGAAGCGCTTCGCCTGCGAAAGGGAGAGCGAGCACGTCCAGCCTGCGGAGCACAGGGACGGCGCCTTCTAGAGCGACCCCGTGCTTGGCAGGGGAACGTGGAGGAGAAGCCCTGTGGGCAAGGGGGGGCACGCGGGGGCAACGCTCCTTGGGCTGCCTGGCTCGCACCTGGACTCGGACGGGGCAGCCCTTCAAATGAAGGTCCACAAAAGCCGCCAGGCCACCGACAAGCAGAGGGCAGTCGTGCCAGCTGCACGGTGTGCTGGATTATAATGCCCATCATCCCGCACTTGGGGATTGACGGAGGTTGTAGTCCAACTCCCCTGGGAGGCACCAAAATGTCACAATTCAGCCAGCCGCGCAGGACCAGCCCCTCCCCAGGATGGCCATTTCCAGCCCGTAACCCCTGAGCCTTTCTCGGCAGCGGTGGACTGAGCCGTGCTGAGCAGCACCGTTTGGGGGGGCTCCTCACCCCACCCCGCTCTCCTGACTTGGTTTCCCCTTCGGGGTCACGGCATGGAGATGCAGCCTTCCAGGCCTTCGGGGGGTGGTCTGGTCTGCCCCATCCCTCCATCCTTGCCCCCCCCCACAGCTGCCCCCAAGGCCTTCACGCCTCTCCCCCTCATTCTCGCAGGCACCTGGCGGGCAAAAGCCCCGCGTGCCGCCTGCAGGGCAGTGCCAGGGCTGTCAGGATCGTACGGGGCTCATGCCCCTTTCCCGGGCAGAAAATCGTTCCGGGGTTCTCTCGCAAGGGTGCAGCTCTGTCCCCATCCCAAAAGATCGAGACGCTGCTCCTGAGGGGGTCGCTCTCACCTGCAGGGCCTGATCCACCTTCATGTCCTCGAGTGACGGGTACAAAATCGACATGCTGGCTGGATCCACCTGCAAAGACATACACAGGCGGCATCAAGGTTGGGGCAGAGGGGAGATCCTGGGACTGACCCCCCCCCCCACAGCACTCTGCCCTGGGGAAGGGTGGGCTGGGCCTGGATTGCTGACAAACCGAAGCACACCTGGTTCCTCCATATCATCGTTTGCTTTGGAATCCACCTTTCCATCAGAAATGGCACTCAAAGAGACTAACAGGAACCACGCAAGAAGTGGAACCTTCAGAACAAATAAGAGCAAAACGGAGGGGGAAAGAAAACGAAGGGTGCCCAAGCGGATACCACAGCCTGAAAGCAGTTGGCGCGCCACGGATCTGCCTGAACAAAGACGTCTTTGCCCACCAGAGGGAGCCCGGGGCAGCCACCAAGAGGGCCCTGACTCACCTGCCCGGAAAGATACCTCCAAAGATTATGGCCCCCACTGCGGGTCTTAAAAGGGACGTCAGCACACCCGGAAAAATCCAGACTGTGCCCATTAATAACACGCGTTTCAGCCGATCAAACCAATTTGCGCCAGTTGGCAAAGTCCCAAAGGAAATGTGTCTTTCATTGATTGCTGAGCCAGAAAAAGTCCCAGAACTCCCAGGAGTCCCCATGCTGGCAGGGGAATGCTGGGAACCGCAGGCCTAATTCTGTCTAAATGGCCCTGGGATCGCGCCCGTATGTTCCTGCTAATGACACACACTAGGAACTAGATGATGAAATTCCCCAGGCAGCTAGAAAAGATTATTCCATGACAGCGTGTTATCCCGCCTGCTAATTAAGGCCACCAGAGGCTTGGTCACAGGTTCCGAGGAACGTCAGCCACCGAGGTGATACCGCGAGTTGCTCAACAGGAGCATTAGTCATAGGAAAGTATCACTGGGACTATACAGTGGTACTTCCCCATTTTCCATGTGTGTGTTGTTGGAAAAAGCAAGCCTTTGTTTTGAAATGAGCTCCTCGAAGAACTGCCTTGGCAGCCGGTTCCCCGCCTTCCACCATTAAGTGGCACCTCTTAATGGCCACTCGGCCACCGTGGAGTCCACAAACCTCTTTCCTGTATGGACCGTGCTAGGCCACTCGTCTCCCTTAGGAACAGAAAGGGAACTCGCTAACTTTGTTGGCAGGGAAAATTTATGGACAGGGTGGCAGATCAGGGGCAGCTGTGGGAAGAATGAGATTCTTGGCTTACGGAGGAAAACAAATTCTCATCACCAAATGTCATAATCGCAATAATAACAAACTCATTCTTCTTTTTGCTCTTTGCACTGCAATCCAATTTATCATCCCTGATTTCGTCTTAAAGTTCTTAACATGGGGTTGTGCTTTCTCCAGCTATTCCAGCTTATTACAGAAACATTTTCCAATAAGCGTCTTCGTTTGTCGAAGAGCTTTGTTAGCACGGAGTGGATCGGATGGCCGACCATCGGCATCCACCGCACTGTGGGAGCGCGTCTCATGATCTCCCTCGGCAGCTGGCTGAGGAACCACTGCCGTGTCTTCCGGCAAAAACCGTGCTCGGCCGCCCTTCGGCATCCACAGGCGGCAGCGAAAAGCCCCGCACCGCTCCTCACGAATGCCCACTGCGTGGCCTGCCGCTGCTGGACCAAACCACGGCTCTACCTCATCCAGCATCTGTTCGCCAGCCACCACAAGTCTCGGACTCTGGTCCCATAAGTACTTGCTCCAAGAAAAGGGTGACCACGTCACAGATCCCAACTTCCACACAGAATCAGACTTCAGAACAAGGCAATTCCCCCACCCAACGTTTGCAACCACTTCCAATTTGTAATTCTCTGATTTCTGAATCCCACAGAGGTATAACCAGGACGGCAGACCATTCATCTGCCTGTTTGCACCTCCAGCTGGTCACCAGCTCAGATCCTTTCTTGCCCACTGTATGAACAACCTTGCAAATTTTGGCAAACGACCCAGAGTAAACAGACTCTGAATTCTCTCTCACCCACACTGGCCCTGTTCATTGGGCTTGGGTATTCCTGGCATAAAAAGGACCGTTCCTACATCCCCTGTGTGCAGCGGGGGGAGAGGTTAAGGGACTGGATGGGGGTTCAGGAGGGCCCAGTTCTCCTCCCTGCCCATCCAGGAAGGTCACTTGGTGATGGCCACTGACTCTGAGCCTAGCCTACCTTGCAAGGTTATTGTGAAGATCAAATGGAGAGGAGGCAGCAGGGTATACATGCAATACAAGCTCAAGCTCAAAAAACAGCGGAACCCAACTCAGCCCTGGTTTGGCTGAAGGCACGGGGATTCCAACTCAGACTCTGACGGTCAAGGCACGCAAAGGGCCTGCGACGACCAACCCTGTCCATTCATTTCCCCCGTGTCTCAAGCTCACTTGGTCTCGTAATCAAGTTCTTCTTAGCAAAACTGAACTGGAGCAGAATTTGCGCCCCTCCCATGGGGCACCCCCATACTACCGTCCGGCCTGATTTTCAAAGAACGGGGCGCTCGGCACGTGGGCAAACCGCTCGCTACCTTTGGAGGACTCCGGGAAGGGGAAGGGTTAAGGCAAGGCTGCATTAAGCACACACCTAGATAGGATTTATTTATTTATTTATTTATTTATTAAAACATTTCTATGCCGCCCCATTCGCCAAAGCCTCGGGACGGCTCACAACATAAAATAAAATACAAAAATAACAATACAAAAATAACAATATAAAATAAATAACAATATAAAAGAAGTCGCCCTGGCCAGATAAATAAGCAAATACTGTTAACAATTAAAATGACGCTTAAATAAAAAGGTCTTGGCCTGGCGCCGAAAAACAACTAACGACGGCGCCAGGCAGACCTCTCTGGGGAGCGCATTCCACAGATGGGGCGCCACCGCAGAGAAAGCATCGGAGGCCTTTTGCTAGCACGGTGGCACACCGCTCGGACTGTCCAAAGTTCAACAAACAATACTGCTAAAATGCCAGTAAAGATAAGGGACACGGAAGGGGCAGCATAAAATAGACTGGGCACGGCAGGGCTGGAAGCGGCCCACCTGCAGATCCCCTCAGAGGAAGACGGGCAACTGGGGGCCCGCCGGCCTTTCTGCAAGCTGACCGAGCCCAGGTCACACAGCCACACACAGGCACGGGCGCAAGCACAACGCGCAGCCGGCCAAGAAAGGCGGTCTGCGCAAACCCGTCTGGGGCGGTGCAGATAAATGTGTCTCGTACATGGATCAGAATGCCAAAAGCATCCCTGTTCAACCATTAAACAGCACTAAGTCGTTTCTGTGGTATACGGAATATTCCACGGATTTCTAAGCATGACAACGCCATGTTTTCTAATAACTGGTCCTTTCAGAGAGAAACCCCTGTGGACACAGCCTCAGGCAATCGCAGTATCTTCAGGAGAAGATAAATGCTTTGGGAAAAAAGGCAGTTAAGCCAGTTAGTAAAAACCTGACGCCTTCTAAATTCTCAAAGGAAAAGCGGAGATACACGGCTGAGTTTAGTTCCTCCACACGTAAGAAATCAGCTGAGAGCAGATGAGGCCCCATTCCCTGGGTCCCCAGTAAACCATGACCTTGAACTCAGTGTGAGCCTCTGTCGGACTTCTCCTCTTTTGACACGTCCCGAGCCCAAGCATTTGCGCCGAGCCGCCCACGGAGGCCCAGGCCCTGCCTTCTGCCCACGGCCTGGATTGCCCACACCCTCAACCCAATGCTCCCCCCTCGGAGAAGGGGAGCTGTCTGAAAACACTCCGCACCGACCCCCAGCGGCTGAGCGCAGGTGAGGCGAGCATCAGCCCCTCTCCCGCTGCAGCCTCCCTTCCCCCGGAGGCCCGATGGCTCACCTGTCTGCCGCCTTTGGCGAGAACTCGGCCGAGCCGTTTGCACTCTGGCCCGGAGCCCTGCCTCTTATAAGAGCGGCTCGGAGGCACCCGGCTGGGCGGAGGCACCAGCCACACAGGAAGTTGCATCCCGGGAAGCGCCAGGTGCCCGGAGCAGATCCAGGCGGGGCACCTGGTGAGAGAAGCACCTGCCTGGCTCAGGCTCCCCAGATGGCTCATGCCAGGGAAGCCCTTGCCTGCCCGGCCCGGGTTGCCTGAGCGGCCAGCGGCTCCCGGGGTCTCGGCGGGAGGGGAGGGGTCCTGCCCACAGGTCGGAAGCTGCGCTGGAGTTTTAAATAGGGCGAAGGAAGGGAAGCTCAGGAGATGTTCTGATGCCCAGCCCCAGCTGCCTCCGCTCCATGCTCGGCAAACAGCTTGGACTTCATCCCCCGTCCATGCCAGCCAGCCCGGGCAACAGCAGAAAGGTGCTGGAGCTCAGCGGGCGAGCATGGGGCCCTGGCTAGGGGTGCGGGACCGTGAGTCCAGCGACCCGGATCCTAGTTCCCACCCACCCACAGAGCTCGCTGGGTGACTTTGGGCCAGTAACGGACTCTCAGTCCAACCCACCTCGCAGGGTTGTTGTGGGCATAGGAAGGAGAGCAGGGGGAATTGAACGATGCAGGTTGCTTGGAGTTTCTTGACAGGGAAAACATCAGGGTACAAATACAATACATAAATAAACGGCACAGAACCTCTGGGCCACAACCGGCTGGCAAAGGATGGGCGCGAGAGGGGTCTGCCGACGGGGGCAGCCACGCAAGCACCTCGGCAAGGTACGGAGAGGAGGCCTGACCTAATCAGGTGCTGCCTCCGGGGGGCAGATGGCCTGTTCCTGAGGCACCACCGATGTGCTGAAACGTGTTTCCAGTTGCAACCTGACTGCTCTGTGATCAGCTCCACGCAGAAAACTAACTCATTGTAAGGAGCTCAGGCCCAACCCTTCCCTCTGACTTACGGACAGCATTTCTAGCCCACCCTTCAGCCAAAAGCCTTCTCAGAGAGACTTGCCAAGATGGAAAATAAGGTTACAAGCTAAAAGGCATGGCATGAAAGGAAAGGAGGTTGGGAGGGTAGATGAAAACACAAATGTGGGCATCAGATTTTTATCCGACAGCACAGAAGTGCAAGAGCTGGACCTAAACAGCCAATGGC